GAGCTAGTAAATAGTAAGCTGGAAAGAAAACAGAAGTGCAGAAGTATTCAATATATTGCGGGACATTTGGCATCGCATAAACCTACTCTAAAAATTTTTCGTCGCGATAATATCTATTTATTTATTTTGATGCACATACCGTGGGCAAAGGCCAGGATACAAAAGAATGAAGGGTCAGAAATCAGCGAGAGATAGAATTAGGTTTGGAGAAAAAACACTAATTAGCTAAATAAGTTTTATATAATATGGTTACAATAAGCTTACGTTGGAGTCTTGAGTTTAGAAGATTCATCTCAAACAATCTCTAGATTTACCCATTCACAGAGCTCCTATTGCTTCCTCAATAGCTATCCAATCTGATGAACAAGCTGATTCTCCAAGCAAGAAAAGGTGCGCTCTTGTGAGCTAATTGTACTATGGCACTTGAATTAAAATTTTATACGTAGTTTAAATTGTGTCAGGTCGAAAGAGATTATTATACAGAGCCGAAAATCATTGAGAACAGCCAGGAGTATATCAGAGAAACGCAACAGGTATGAAATTTGCGTACAATACACAGATTTGGACTAACATCGCTTGGGGCCCTTTCTGGTACTCACAATTAGTTCTTTCCTAAGGTTTCATAAAAAGTGAGTTCACAAAGCTTTACACTGCAAAGAATAAATTTTTATTGATTTTACAAAGTGTAAATTTATCTGACATTTCCACGCCATATTGCTCTTAGTCTGCCATTACGGCAGAGGATTGCAAACCATCCAAACCGATGACAAACTGCTTTTTAATGATGGGATACAACAAATTAATGTTTCCTTTGCTTTATTTGCCCGCTTTATAATTTTTAAAAAATTTGGTCCAGGTTGTATTTTCCATATTCTTATGCCGCTTCCTGATCATTTGGTTTCAGATCTAAACGGAGGAGTAGAGAAAAAGATAGAGAAAATGGAAGCGCAGAAGAAGACAGAAAGTCTAAGGAGTACGTTCAAGTTTTTTAATAAAAAGATTTAGTTGGAGAACTCGTTTGAGAATTTTTAGGCTGGAGAGTTGTAAAACCGCTAGCCCTCC